AACATTACTCTTCCTCGTATTACACGCGCACGATTTAATGGATTACATTTTATCGAGAAATTATTTCTAACGCAGTTTCGTAGGTTTTCGCAATTTAATAATAATACATTCGAACGCTACCCGGGGTTATCTCGACATTTCCGCGACCTTTATAACATTGTATCGTTACGGGATGTAGATAAAACAATTTTGAACGTTGACGTTAACATTATCCCTCAGTTTCGGATAAAGTTTTAATTACTCGTTCGTAAAAGCACGATCGCAATACATTATCCGGTCGACGATAACGTTGAATGGATCATCGTGAATAACGACAACTGACAATATTTTTTAAACGCTCTGTTCAGATATCGCGAGTCTGTAACATGTTTTATAAACAGCAAAATGTAAAAATGTAGAATATTACGTACAATTTTTTATCGCAATCCACTTGATAACGGATGGGCTTATAATCTCGATCGGATAGATTGCCACGGAAGTGCCTCTTTTTTGCGATACTAATAATAATAATACAAAATTTGGATTTATATAATTAACATGCCGTGGGTCGTAGATTCTACACGATTATTCGTATCGTGTTAATCTTAAAGGTTATCGACGATATTCTATCTTTCTAATGGTTGATGTCGACACTCAGCTAACGTTTTATCATCCGACTAACGTTAACGTTATCAATAAAATCATTTGTGTACGTAGCCAGAGAAGGTGTTCAATGAGGACTGGACCACCTCTTTTACCCTCAACTCCGAAATTTAATCTTCTCACCAAAAAATCAAACTATTGTTTCGGTTAGATAGGTTGGTGATATATTTTATATTTGGACCCCCTCCGAAAAAAAAAATCCTGGCTTTGTGTCTGATATCATGTTAACGTGTAAAAAAAATTTAAGCACATTTGCATATATTGTTTCTGGAAATTTATAAATGAATGACGGTCAGCTTGAAATCGTTTCTGTATTGGATCAATGTTAATAATTAACAAACTGTGAACAATTCGTATTCGGTATAAACATTGAATCAATTTTTTTTTTATTAAAAAAAAAAAAATGTTACGATGTGATAGAGTTAAAAAAAAAAAAAAAAAAAAATCACGATTTGCCTATGCGTACAACAATAATAATTAATTCACAATTGCAACTGTCAGTATACGTTCGCCCGTTAATTAAACACGTCCTCCAAAACAAAGCATTTTGATTGGGGCACTTCGAATTGTTAAATTAATAACAATTATCTATACGCTGTCGGGCGATATTAATTTGTGATCTATCCGTGTGTCCGTGCTCGTTGAACAATATTTTCATCGTCTAGTTTTTTTTTGATCCTGCGGGACGCCGGGTTGATTATTGATAATCAACTATATCAATTACACCAGACGCGTAGATATTGGAGAGGCATTAGGATTTACAAATTACACGTTCAAATTTTCCGAAGAACATGGAAACACATCGGATGTTTATAATCCGGTTGATCATCGAGTCCAATGAGAAACACACAGTGTGTTAAATGAATACGGAGCCGCCAGTGTTCAGACGCAGACGAGATGAATGTAACCACGAAGAGACAAAATATAATTGATGAAAATAATTTGTATACAAATTAAGATAACACATATTTAAACTATCTGAGATAACGTCGTATTGGATAAGCGGGATAGATGAAAATAATGAGTCATTTTTTTCTTTTCGGTTATGTTATAATAACGATTATTGTGAACATTATTGTAGAAGCATACATATTTGCACGGTGTAAATCACTAGCAGAAATTATGCTATTTATGAAGTTTCGACTAAGATTTATTGCAGACAAATGTAATCTTAAACATGATCAAAACATAATATTGAAAATTTTAAATTATTTAATCGTTAAATCGTAACTTGAAAAATTCGTATTTTTTAGTTTTCCCGATAATTATGAAAATCACGTTAGAAATCAAAAAACGGCTTTCTTTGTCAGTGACTGTATGTTAAAAGGAACGAAAATACAACCCATACACGTATATTCTATAATTTCTCATCTCTAACAGTGGCATACCTTTTAGTTTTAATTTTTAGAGAATTTTACTTAAAAGTCACCTAGTTTACAATAACTGCATGGCAATTTTATTATTATTATTGTTGTTATTATTTCCATTTAAGTTTTATAAAGTTTTCCTTAATCGATAACGTGAATAATAAAGAATCCATGACAAAACATGCGAAATCGACTTTATTATTCTTTTTTTCTATAGCTTTTAGTTACGATACCCTTGTTTTACCGTTTAAACTCGAGTGACACGAATTACTAACGAATCAAATGGAGATAATGACAATAATAGTACTTACCTTCAAATTTATGTAAACCATAAATAATAATTTGTTCTTCCATACTAAAACTGTCACCGGCATTTTGTATTATTTAGATTTAGAATTATTATATATTTAAATTTAGAAAATCCAATTTAAATACATTTTTATTGCACCGTTTTCACGGACGGCCGACATGATTTATCGTTACTTTCAGTATATAAATATATAAACTAAATTACTGTATATCCTGTAAGTACCTTCCGAACTCCCCATCATCGAAACAACATTGGCCTACACGCAATACCGGATCGGTTAATTCTGGCCAATCGTACAACTGGCTTATAAATGAACAGCTTATTATTTTCGGGGAGCAGTAATAATATCCCTCACATGAAATGTTTTCGAGGTGGTTAGTTTACGGACACTCGCAGAATACCTTTCGTTTAATTTTTAAAACGTTAACCACCCCTATAAAAATTCAGGTCTTATTACGTAACCATGAATATTTCACACTTGATCTCGCCCAAATAGCATGAGAAATGTATGGAATCCCAAACGGATAGTTAAAAAGATATGTTTGCTGCGACACCAGACGAGTTTATAGCTAATAAACAATAACATAAAACATTTGCTTCTATTGTCACTTTCCGATTTTATAATAACCGCGAAATATACCGCAAAAAATAATATTATTTTAATCGATAGTATCGGCCCGACTTAATGAATCAGTAGGGGTCGTAGTGAAATTTTCATAACGTTTCGGCGATATTTTAACATATAGACGTTTGACATTTTCACGTTTGTATTTAATATTTGTATGAGATCATGTCGATAAAAGTGTTTTTGCCGATCAGAAATGCTTGGAAATTTAACACGAAATTCATCGTGAATTGTTATGGCTGGTTGATAAAAATTAAAAGTTAAATGTAAATTAGTGGATTTTTTTTTTTTTTTATCGATATTTTTAAGTTCCAATTATGACGAGAATCTTATAAATCACGGTTTTTCAAAACAGATATACAACCGAATTTCATTCAGTATCGTGTTTGATATGCAATGATTGAGTGCAGATATTAATTAAATGACTCTGTATATCTAACCTATCGGACTTTCCACCAAAAGTATTGAAACGATTATCACGAGTATCACTTATGACGAACCTCTCGTCAAATTTTCGATTTTCTGACCGAAAAAATCGGCAACGAGTATAAGCGATCCAAATGTAGACCAGAGTAAAATCAAAGCGTAACGGGCTTTGGGACTGGCCAACGAAATATAGCGATGCGGTCGACAATAGTATGAGGTACACAATAATGTGGTAATACGGGGGGTGACCTAAAAGCAAGTTAAAATACGTGTCTCCGTCTCGTTGACGAAAATCGACGGCGATATTTGTTTTTTTATGATTTTTCCGGTTCGCTTGTCGGTCCGATTCGGCCGTACGCCGCCCAACGGACCAACACAACGGCCATTGCGTTCGGCGCCTGACAATTTAAAAACTCAATTGCGAAATCCGCCGATTCGCCGGTTCGCTCGCGAAACGCGTTTGTACCCTTAGCCGCCGGACACTGTAACGGCCGCTACGGCGGAACACGCGAACACCCCGCGGGGCCGGCCAAACGCGCCCGGTCCGTCTTCTCGCCCGGATCCCGTTCCGCGGCCACGGGCCGACCCTGGCCCGCGCCTGCCCCCCCCACCTTTCTCCCCCACCTCTCCTGACCCTCGGCCCGCGCCCGTGCCGCCTACCGTCCCCCCGGGCTCTTCCGGCGTCCGCGGTTTCGGCGAATTGTTCCGGCCGGACGTCGTTACAATAATATATACGCCGCGCCGCCGCGGCCGTTAGGTTATCAGCGCGCGTCCGGTCGGCGACCGCCGCGGCCGCGTTCCGGACGGCCCCGGTCCGCCGGGGTTTTTTTTTTTTTTTTTTTCCCCCCTCAGACTTTTTGTTCGTTTTTCGGTATTGTTTCCGAGATCGTGGTACAGGCACGTCTAATACGAATTCCGTTCGATCGCGGCGGGCCGCGAGACCGTAAACGAAACCCCCCGTAAAACCGTGACATCACGGGCGATAAACAATGTTATTATTGTTATTAAAAGAAAACAACGGCGACGCCTACGGTGATTTCATTGCGCGGCGGCGTCGGCGTTCAATTAATTGCTACGCGGGCGTTAAATGACACCGGTGCGCGGCGTGCGAACGTACACGCCGCCCGCACCACTCGCGAAACGAGCAGCCGAAATCCTCCGCGGGCGAGGCCGGGGCGACAACCGGTTGAAACGTTCAGTTAAATTTTTTTTTTCGCGTACGTTTCAACGTTCCTGGGACCGGTTAAAAAACAATGATGGTCGTGCGTTTCATTATTATCACCCGCAGATCTCCACCTAAACACTGTAAAAAAAGCGAAATAACTATAAAAAAAAAAAAAAAAAAAAAAAAAAATAGAATATCATAATTTAACTAAATCGGTCCATATAATAAATTATTTTAAATTTACTAGGTTGTATCGTCTTAATTCGAGTTAATTCATAAAAGGTATTAAAAAAAAAAAAAAAAACTGTTTCCATGAGTTTTTAACAGACGTGTGGTATATTATGCGAGGACACTCATACGAGTCTAGTAAGTTTTTTAAAAATATAAATATAAAGGATTTTAGGGTTTTTTTAAAAAAAAAATAAATGTAGTTTTTAACTTATTCAGTTTCCTGAAAATGTGTAACTTCGCTCGAATTTAATGAAATTAATGTATACTCTTAAACTAACTCTTATTTAACTAGATGTTTATTTTGTTTTTTCAAATAATAATTTTACTTAAACTAGTTAAACAGTTTGGTTAACTTGACCAGCTTTGGTTATCCGATTCACAATATCGCTAATATTATTTCAATGATAGTAATTATAGACACGGTTAAGTGTTTACACTGTTTGTTCAGGCCTGATAGGAACTGCTTCAACGAAGTCGGTGTACTCGATTCTTAAATTGGGAACAAATCAGATGAAGGCCGCACAAACGTATGCACAAAATATACTATCTTTGAGATTCGATTTTCATTATGGAAATTTCCGATTATATTATATGTTATAATGTCGGAAAATGTCCATTAACAACGGATCATAATTACGAAAAACTAGAAGAGGTACGCCATAAACATTTTAGGAAATATGAGTAACACCGACGTCCCCCGAATGAATGTCTTGATTTTTGAAATCCGAAATTCGCAGTCGGTGAAAAACCGCGATAGGCTTAGATAGAAAGCGGCCAATAACGGAAAAAAATAAAAATTGCTTTAATATTAAGCGTATGCGAGCATATTGTTTTCACGACCGTGGGATTCGGACCCGACGGTATATTGTTCAGATGGACGCCGTTAATCCGTTTAAACACTCGGACGGCCGTAAGTAATACGTATTTAATAATGTTTGAAACGAAAAACGTATTACTATATGGCCAGTTAGAGGATTCCATTTACACTAGTGCCTCGTTTTAAGTATGGGGAACGTTAATACGCTACCGGGGACCATAGTATTATTATTTTCACGTCGACAATTTCCGTCACGAATCGCCGCGCCATCGTTGTGTGATTTTGTTTTTACTTTTGCCCCCTAAACAAATCCGAGTTTTGTCGGCGAAAACTAAAACAATTACTGCAGTTTTCGGGCCATCTGTTCGGGACCGTGTAAACGACCGCGACCATGTCAACTTTCGAGCGAAATATAATTCGCCCCCGCACAACTCCCCGGGTAAAATATACAAATTTAATGGCAGTAGAATAACCGAAATGAAATATAGCGACATTATCAGCAAATGCGATATATGTATTTTACAAAAAAAAAAAAAAACATATACTAATCGAAGACGATTGAGTACCGAAAGAACGACGCTTCACATATATTAATGCACGATGTGAACAATGTGGAGTATTTTTAAAATCGAAAATAGCGTTTCCTAAGAAAAAAGAAATTGTATTAAGAATTATAATTTCACCTCATTCTTTTCCCCCGACCCAAACTTAAAAGTGGAATACCTCGTCAACGTATTGATGGAAATCAAACTAATACTTCGTTTATTTTTCGATTTTTTAATATACGTTGTCATTTGAAAACCAAAAGTAAACGGTGATTTTAACTCGAAAAATAACGGTAAAAATCGCACGCGTATAAAATTGTAGAGCCGCTTGTTACTTAAATGTTCTGTAAAACGCATACCGAAGAAAGTAAATACTCTCCGAGATAACGAATGTCTTACGATAGATCGATCTCCCCCATGTTTAGTAGTTTCGTATTATAAATATCGGCGGGGGAACTAATTAAAAAAAAACAAAAAAAACAAAACAAAACGATCCGTAGATTTTCGCAGCCGTTCACTCACCGTCTGCACCCTCCCACCGAGTGCACGTGCGCGCGTATTGTCCGGACGCTATTGCTAAATGTAAACCGTGGCTACCCATCGTACGCACATGACACGTGGGCACTTGACTCGACACGGAACAAACTACGGCATCAATGTTGTTTGCAGAGGCTTCGTCGTCGTGCGCAATGCGTATCAAATTGTATACATATCATTATATAGGGTACTCGTATACGTATATGTACATCGCGAGCGGCTCCCTGTCCGAAAGGTCCTTACGCGAAAGGCCGTAGTTAGCCCACGCACCTAACCTAACTGGGCGTTTACGGTTCGTTATTTTGATTTGTTTTTCCCACTACGATTAAGTCGATTACGACCTGCCGTGCGATAAATCGGGTGAATATACGAATCGGCGATTCGCGTATTTTATCACGTATAATTATATAATTTCGGTCTCGGGGACGAAGGGACATGTAGATGTTCGGAATAAATATATATATTTTCTAATAAATCCGTCTTATAAAATTTATTTCCCGTTGATTTTCGGTTAAAACGATATAACTACGGATTCATATTTAAACGCAACCGAATATTAAAACATCTCGAGTCACCGTGATGTACTTATTGTTTGAAAAAAACAAAAGCGCGTGGGTCATAAGAGTCGTAATAGAACTTGAGCCGTTTGAAACGGTATTGGTTACAATTAGACCGTTTAGCAATTATTAGCCGCTGTTCCGTTTAACAATTTTCAAAATATAATTTGCTTGTATTGAAAGCTGTACAAAACTGACCTGAGCGCTTTTTACCCGAGAACAAAGATATTCTTTACGCTTCTCGCATTATTGTTTATGAATTCAGTGACGTAGTGGAGGTACACGGTGTGTACCTAATTTTCCATTAATTTGTTAGAAAAACTACGGTTTGCGGGTACACGGTTCCAAGCACGACAAATTAACATTATCAAGTTAATAATCCTGTTTTTTTTTTTTGTATATTATTTTGATTCCTAATGAGAGAAAAAAAAATGTAAGACTAATATTGCCATTTGCATGCTGGGAGTTAATCTTTTTTTTAATCTATTGGCACTTAATGTTCCAACCACGTCCCAATATCTGTACTTATCGGTTATCTTTTAAAATATTATTCACTATAATAAAAAAAACATTATTATTTAATTGTATTTTCATTTCACACTTATATGAATCGGTTATAATATGATTGCTAAGCTATGAAAAATACCTATAAATTACTATTCCGAATGCAGCCCAAAATAAATCGAGGATATGAATAATTTTAGAACCTCAGGACAACTTGGACCAATTTACCACTTTACAATGAACTACTCTAATTATGTAAAATTTGGTAAAGATTTTTTCTGTTTATTTATATTTTATGTGCAATACACATTTTTTTTTTTTTTTCTGGTCGGTTAATACGTTTTTTTCCATTAATAATTTATAAGTTTCAATAACTATCGATTATTGTTTTGGTTAACGATTGTAACAGTTAAAGAAAAAAATCAAAAAAATATTGTGCGTAGAAAAGTAGACGTTATATTTTCTTAATAATTTAAGCGTGTTCCCGTGCATATTTTTAGGACTCCATTAATATTTTTTTTATCACGTGCATATTAATAAAATTGTCTGTCTGTTTGTCTGCATGCGATTTACGGCCGAATTTATCGCAAGACGCTGAGATCTGATAATGCACACACAATCGGATGCACAGGTCCGTGTGTACACCTTACGAAGGATTTCCGAAATAAATTTAACCCTTAAAGGATAAACGACAATGGATATTTTAGTTTTTTTGGAACGAAAATCGAATTGTTTTTGTTGAATTATGAATTGTTACCTTATTAACACGAACGAACAAAAGAAACAGTTAAAACAATTTCCGAAATCGAAAATTCAGATTTTTCGGACATTTTGGCTTAATGTCAAATGACTTGTGATAAATAAATAATAATAATAATCAAATGTTAACAGTTAAAATTTTCTTAACTATTAACCCGAATCGGAGAAATGCAGGTATTCTCGACAACAGAAAAGTACGCGCCGATCGTATACGAAATAATATAAAAATGTTTTTGGAAGATTATAATACATTCGTTTACAATTTCCACGATCCGTTGCGGCTATTATACCTTGGGTATCTACACTCAAATACCCGGGAGTCTATTGTTAAAATAACGACGATTTAGCGGGCTTTTAGCGGGGATACGTGTTTCAGGGCCTTTACAAGGTGAGCGTGTAGGTTGGCACACAGTGGTGGGGATACCCTTTGTATCGGCGCTCGTGAGGTCGCGGTCGCGGTCAATAATGACCGTTCCCGTACGGGAATTTCAACCAAAAGCCATGATGATAATGCAATTGTAATATACTTATCGTTTGCCCATATAGGTACGTATGATTTACAGTTTCGCGTCCGTAACTCGTGACAAAATAAACGGGCACGGGAGCGACGTTTTTCGGTGCGCAATATAAAGCGTGTCCCGGACTTGCGTCAAACGATAAGACCACGGGAGGGGGGGAAACAACGTATTATCGTCTTGAATTCGGTGCGTTTTTATCAAGGGCGATTGCACAGAACTACACGGACTAATGTTAGGTTTGCACGTGCATGACGCAGTACTCGTCAGTGATTGTAACACCGGTAATTACTGGCATAGAGTCGCGGTCTTCCGACTTTTTCCGCGCGACCGGCGCCGCTAGAACACGCGCGTGTACACCGAGCACGGGACAACGACGCGGCCCGATCACGACGAGACGCGGGCTGGTGTTGGAAGTATGGCGTACCGTGCCGCCGTTTCTTCCGAGGTCCGGGGCAAGCGCGCGCGTTGATAAGGGAAACGCGTTGTTTTTTTTTTTTTTTTTTTTTTTTTTGTCAACACGCGTGTCCGCTTTACCGCGATGTCGTTTACGCGGACACGCGAGACGTCATGGAAGAGCGAAAATAATGATTTAAAAAAAAAAAAAAAGTGTCGACAAATTCGATTCCCGTCCCCCATCACCGCGTGCGCTGAATCCGCGGCGTACATCCGATATGATATACGCGCGGATAAATTAATTATGTGCCGGCCGGCGGCGGAATTCTTTTAAACAGAGAGAAAGAGAGAGAGAGAGTGAGAGAGAGAGTCTGTTGTAGTAGTGCACGCTGTATATTTATATACCGTGTACTTACAATACAAAGAGTATACAGCGGTAGTAGTAAAAGTATTGTGTATAGTAGTAGCACGAAGAATTATCGCTTTGTTTTTGCGTGTCATCGCATCGGTAAAGCGACCGTCCATTAAGCGGGTTTAGAGCCCGTTTCACGGTTCCCGCAGGACGGAGGCGGCGTGGGAAACTGCAAGGAAAAGGGATATAATTTATTAGGACCTTCCACTTCGTCCGCCCCGTCGTCGTCGTCGTCGTCGCCGCCGCCGCCGCCGGACGAGCCAGTGTTTCCTTGTGTAGCACCGCCGTCGTCGTCGTCGTCGTCGTCGTCGTAGCAGCCGCCGCCACCGCCCGTTCTCACCCTGTATAATACGGTGCGCGGCTAACGTCGTTGTTTCCCCCGCGCTCGTTTTGTCTTGAAACGCGACGGGCGAGCCGCGGGGGGATGACAAATTCGCACCGGGGCCGCGACACGACGACATCGCGACAAATTCATTTTCAAAACATCGTAGGAGATGGTGTTTTTTTTTTTCCCCCCGTTTTCATACTGAAATTCGAATATTACGATTATCGTGTACATTCATCAAAACCGTTAAATTATTCGGCGTTTGGCGATTTTATTAATCCAGTATTAATACCGTCGATAAATCTCCGGAGACCTTGTTGTCTTGTGAAATCGGAAAATATTGTCTAATATGTCTAATTATCGAAGTTTTATCTTATGTATCCTCATCTGTATAATTCTAAATCTGCTCCGCTTGTATAAGACTTTATTAAAATGTACAATATGTAAGAGCTGTTAATTCTAATTACATTCATCTACACGTACTTGATTGGACACATCAATATGTGTTCGAAAAGTTCTCAAAATGTATTTTGAATATAATCGTTCTGACGGAGAAATGATAAAACGACGGTGATATTTAGGACTGCGACTTGCTTGAGCACGGTT